AATATAGTGCATCTGGTAAACGTACGGTGGAATAACTGAGATGAAAAGATTAATCATTGATCCACAAAATAAAAGTTCCCGCTTCAGATATTGAGTAACACCGTCCAACAAGATCCTTTAGCTCAGGTAAATTCTAATTTAAACCTTACCTCTAGTTTATCCTTGTTCTGGGTGCATCGGATGAGCTCCACGTCTCCTGGCATAGTGAACAAGTCGACATCCTTGAACATGTTCACCAGGGGGCCGGTCATTGAGGGCAACATTGCACGCCGGGGGAACATCAAACTGTCGGATCCAAACCTGATCAAATTAAAGAATGAAATTAAGAAACCACTTGAAAGATAATAGTCAAACCGAAAAAGTTCAAAAATTAATAATACAAATATTAAATTATGTAAACTTACTTAGACCTCACAGGCATGCCACCCTCCATCATACATCTTGCATTCATGAAATCATCCTCAAACCGACGCAAAATATCTCTCGGCTCAGCCAACATACCTTCTCTGACTCGACCGAAATCGTCCCAGCTGGAACGGAAAAATGGATCCTTGAAGAAGAGATCTCGGGTTGAAATTGGAATGAGATCCATCTTAAATTGATAAATGGTTAGATAGATGTGTATAATTGGAAAGCTGTGAAACAAATGATAATCATTCGTGATTATCTGGTATTTATATAGGTATTCAACCCTCTCCCCCACCCCTCTACTACTCTACTTACTCCCCCCCCCCACGATAATCCTTCTCCCGCATTTACAGTTCGTAATTAATTTCTGATAATGCGTAATAAAAAATACAATAAATGCGTAGATTTCAAGGAATTGTATCTCCCATTAGGCGTAAATTAACATAGTTTTAATATTTCCGAGAATCACATCAACTCTTGAAAAAGAAATGATGTAGTAAACAATTTAAAAATTTATAAATATGAAAAAGTTTTGTAAAAATGTAACATATAACGGTGCAAAAGTAATTTGCAAATCAAAAAATAGTTGATTATTTGGAAGAAAAAAATACGCTCCCGAAGACCTACCATTGAAAGTAAGAAATACGTTTTAAAACTATAGATGGGTACAAAAGGCTGCTAAGTCGTACTAGTGGCATATACAGAAAGCGAATTTCTGTCTTATGTTGAAATTGTTTGTGTTATGGAGACTGTAGGTTACTTGTTCGAGAGCATAAAATGGATTCTAAAAATAGATAATGTCTACATTTGTTAAAAAAGTCCATTAACAATGCAACTACCCCTTGATTTGATAAAGCTAATGATTGATAATTGTGTAGATAATATAATATTTTTTACGCACTCCCTGCAGTACACTGAATATATGGCGTACTGCAAATGTATTTTTAGGATTTATTAATGAAGAATAAAATCATCACATGTGTACTGCAGAGTATTCATTATGTTAACGTATGATAAAGGATGTCTAACCAAAGAGAATAAAATATATATTAGAGTGGAATTTAGACAATCCCTCGGTATGAACTTTGTCACTCCCTTTCAGCCCAGAAAAGGAGTCCAAAGTGTGCAAATCATGTAAATGTTCACAAATTATATGCAGTTACAATAATACAGTATGTTCCCTACACTATCCATTTCAATTTCGATTTTTTAAGCTGTTAAATAAACTTTATAAAATGAATTAGGTGAATAAAAAATATCATTTGATTTATAGTTATAACTGAAAATCATCGTTTGTAAAGTGAAAGGCATAGAGTCTATATGAAATGATCATTGGTCAATTATGAAACCAGCCTATTTCATAATTTGGTTTTCTTTTAACATTAATTTTAGAGTTTCTATAAAATGATGTTCCAGGGCCCAAAAGGTTATATGGCGCAAATATGTGAAGTAAACCTGCAGTTTGGAAACAGTACAACAAAATGGCCGTTTTACACTTTTTTCTAGTAAATTCCCCTCTAATATATATTCTATTATCTTTGTGTCTAACCAAACATGACAGATAAGAGACAACTTCAGTATCGTCTTTGACCGGCCTTCCTTCGTAAATCTAATTTTCGAAGCAAAATTCTCAAATGATTATAACAAAATACCTTGTGTTCTGGCATTTCCAAAATGTGGTCTGCCTTTTTAATAGTTTCAAAATTACCTGATATTGTAAGAATTTTGTTCAGATTTCGACAAATTTGGTTTAATTTTAATAAATTGAATTCTAAACAAAGTTCCTTCGGTAATATTGAAAGCACTAAAAAGTAACATTTGGTAAAGGCAAGAAAGAAGCATTTTTGTGATTATTGTTACATAAATACATGTACATATATAGAGCCTGAAGGCTTATCTCTTCCGATCAAATGCTATTTTGAACTTTTTATTTTAAACTGTCCGCGAGCAATTTATTGGCATAAATAGAATTCATTATTTTAGTTTTCGTATGAAAAATATTCTAGTGGCTTCTGGTTTTTTGGAAGATTATTTTATTATTATATTTATTATTTTATTTGCCACTGTTTTCTTCTTTCCTTTATTCCTTTTTCTTTCGTTTTACATTTTTCATTTTTCTTTCTGAGATAATGCCCCCCCCCCGTACTTTGAGAATAAGGTTTGGGTTTAGTTCCCCTACAGGCTATAGGCCTGGTACAAGATGTTTTATGTACAATATCATTATTATTTATAATATACAGTTTAATAATTAATAATTGCCCCCCTGCTTGTTATTTCCTGTCTTAAATATGACACTAATTAATAATTAGAAATATCTCATTCAAAGAATGGATTTTAATTAAGATTTTAATTATGCTGTTCTGGTTCAGCTCCGATATCCTTTCCTATCTTTTTAACGTCATTTTTCAATTTAGTCTTTGTTCTAATTCCATTCTTGTTCTCGTTTATGACTTGTTCATATTCATGTTCATGTTCATTTTTATGTTCATGTTCATGTTCATGTTAATGTTCATGTTCATGTTCATGTTCATGTTCATGTTCATGTTCATGTTTTTACAATGCTAATTCATAACAAAGACGATATCGAATTCGTCACTGAATTCCCATGTTTTTTGGGACACCCTGTAGAACAAGGACACAATTACTCTCTGGCAGTAATCAAATCGGAGTCTCTATATCAACTAGTTTATTTGGGGTTTATATGTTACAAGTTAAAGTTAATCGATGTAGTTACAATTCTTACGTCTTTATCGATACCACATGATTAATACAATCATGTTCCGTATTTACAGCTCAGTTAAAATAAGCGCAATTAAGATATACTTCATTATATATCACATGGTTAAGCTAATCATGCTTCTGTATTCAGTTCAAATGAATAATGGCTTTTACGGAGAAGCTAAAGTTTACAAACATAGATGGTTAACAGTGTACTATGTACTTCAGCTTTACAGAATTTCGTGTTACCAGATATTTATTACACATGTTCATGTTCATGCTTATGTTCATGTTCATGTTCATGTTCATGTTCATGTTCATGTTCATGTTCATGTTCATGTTCATGTTCATGTTCATGTTCATGTTCATGTTCATGTTCATGTTCATGTTCATGTTCATGTTCATGTTCATGTTCATGTTCATGTTCATGTTCATGTTCATGTTCATGGTCATGGTCATGTTCATGTTCATGTTCATGTTCATGTTCATGTTCATGTTTATGTTCATGTTCATGTTCATGTTCATGTTCATGTTCATGTTCATGTTCATGTTCATGTTCATGTTCATTTTCATGTTCATGCTCATGTTCATATTCATTATTATGGCTTGCACTTATTCTTGCTCTTAATCTTATTCTTGATCTTATTCTTATTCTTATTCTTATTCTTATTCTGTGCTTGTTCTTCATTTTGATCTTATTCTTATTCTTCATATTCTTGTTCTTACTCTTATTCTTATTCTTATACATATTCTAGTTCTAATTCTTGTTGCAGAGTTTTTAGTCGTCTTTGGTGCTGTAACGATCTGTATATATCATTGTAAACATTTTGGTTGTAATTCATGTCTTGTTTCTTTTCCCAATCCTTAATCATAAATTTCTCTTTCAGAATCTAATTAATATTCTTAGTTCAACCTAGTGTTCATCTGTGCGTACTACATACACGGTATATGTATCATGCTGATCGATCTATCTTATGTTCTAATCGATTAATGTGTTTTTAAATCTAAATTCTTTTAACAAATGCAGACTTCAATCCAATCTATAAAATATAAACTACGATATTGTGACCTCTTGGCTTCTCTAGTTAGATATTACTCTAACCCTTTTCCGTGTTACGCCTTATTTTAAGTACGTACTCAAATGTATTCGGTTCCATTCCAGAAATTAAAAACATTTTTTAAAATTTAATTTATTTTGACGTGATTTCCCACATTATAGTTGTAGATTTGATTGAACATTTCATGCATAGTATTGTGAATTATTTTACGCATAATTAGCCTGTTTTTTGGGCGGATATTGTCCTGTATTTACTTCAATTTCCGAAAAAAATGATTTCCAAAAAGTTTAATAATATCCACCCATCCTGCATAACTGAAATGCGCAACATGTAAATCAGATTTCACGAAATATCCCAATACGCATTTATCACGTCCAACGCAATATTTAGAAACATTGATGAGCATTATAATACGCACTAATTCTAGGAAATACGTCTCACAAGTCACAATCAGTTCATAATAATAATAATTCTAGTTTTCCTTTCTTTTCCTATTATCTTTGTATGTCATATCTTTTCTTTCTTTATTCTGTTTGTCAAAGACGACATTCAAATTTCTCTCTTTTTCCTCTTATTTCTTCCTTTTTTCATTAATTGTGATTTATTGTCTAATCTGAACCTTTTAATTCTCCATTGAAATGTTTTAGGTTACTAATTTTTTAAAATTTTGACAAAAAATTGAATTTATTCTAATTAAACTAAAACAGGGTAACCCGCAAATGACGCATCTTTAAAGATGACCTAAAACTATTTAAAAGTAACGTAATGATGGTTGATTTTGGACTTTTGTACTTAATTTAGTTTTTGAAGAAAAAGTTGAAAGATTAAAGAAATTATATTATGATATTAACAAATGCGCTAAGTGCTAATTAGTTCACCATGATCCTTTATGGGTAACACTACATAAGATGCGATATGTACTGGGAATCAGTCAGTTTTAGCAAATCAATGGGAATCAGTCTATTTCCAGTTTTCTAAAAGATCCCTCAATACCGAATAGATCCGCATGTGATCTAGGCTTACCAGGTCTTTTGCTCTCATCCGTTTTATACCTACAAAATATAGATTTTGGTCAGGGGCGTATACTCAGAAATTGGGGGGGGGGCGTTAGTTTTCTTTAAGGGGAGGGGGGGGGGGGTGCTTTAAAAACCTTGGGGGACTGAGAAAAAACAGTTTTAAAGAGCTTTATAGAATAATTTAATTATAAAACTAAATATCTGCAACATTCTATATTATCAGAAAGTGAAGAATACGACATTTGATGAATTCTTTCGATGTTTAGGGTTTAATTGTACAAAAAGGTTTTATGAACTCTATATTAAGAGAATATAAAACTAATCTTAAAAAGATAATGATAATACTATGTGCCAATTAAGATAAAATCTTAGTTATCAACTGAAAACCCAGCTTTTTCTTCAGTTTTAGGCTCAATATTATTAATTTTACTTCATCAGAAGTAAGAGCGTTTGTGTTTTGAATCTTGGGCTAAAACATTGATCTCCTTCTTATAAAGATCTACAGAGGCCGAATTTAAAGAATTTGAGCTGCAGCTTTGACCCGCAGCTTAATAAGTCGCGGCTCAAATATGGTTGGTTCCACTTGTATTTAATTTTTCAAGATTTAAGCCTACGCTTAATTGAAACCGGTTTTTGGGGGATTTGAGACGCGGCTTAAATTCATTAAATTCGGACTCTGATTAATATATTTCCTCTTTCATATCCTATGGTCATACACTACAGGGAAAACTTTAATTAAGGAGTCAAGCCTTTATCCTTAATTTTCAAAGTGCACACAATGAATATCGAGATCAAGATTAACGATATTCTACACAAAATCTCTGACCTCAATAAGTTTTTCGTTGTGAAATAACTTACTTTGTTTGCTGCAAAAGCCAATCAGCATTTTTCACAACCTCAGTTTTCCAGAATTCTAAATAAAAAAACGTTATTTTGATACAAACAAAGATGCACAAAAGCAAAAGATATTTTTTAAGATATTAAAATTTTTATTTTGAAAGTTACCACGATGCTCATCTAGTATTCCGTTTGTTCCTCCATATTCCTTTTAGAGATTTACAAAATTAAAAGAAAAACTATATTAAAAAATCTAGTCCAGAATAATTAATCTAAGAATTATTTTTTAATTATTTTTGTAAAATTAAAATTCCTTTGGCAGAATGTCAGTTCCAAGCTCTTCAACAAGTTTTGAATAATCACCCTAAAAAAAATAAAAAATAAATAAAAAATAAACAAAAAATTAATAAAAAATAAATAAAAAGCAAAAAGTTACATTAATAGTTATCACTTTAAGTTTAACATCTAAGATTTTTTTAACCATAAATAACTAAAATGTAAAGGAATTGTTTATACATTTTAGATGAAAATTTTTCAAATTGGTAAGATGACAATGTACAAATTGATTAGATAACAATTTACAAATTGATTAGGTAACAATTTACAAATTGATTGGATAACAATTTTCAAATTAATTGGATAACAATTTACATATTGATTAGATAACAATTTACAAATTGATTAGATGACAATTCTCAAAATGATTAAAATTTCTAAATTAATTTCTACATTTTAGATGTTTGATTATGATGACGGGCTTGCCATATGTGACTTTATGCTGTAGTATTTACGTTAAGTTATGTAAAAATTAATAACATTTATAAATTACGTAATTTTGTTTTTTAGTATTGACATTTATTCAAATTTAGGGTGAACACTGGAAACTCCAGTCAAGCTCTGAGCAATTAAAGCAATTTCATAATTTCATAGTGACTTTAAGGGAGTGACCGGCAGTCGGCACTGTATGGTAGTTTAACTGATGATGTAGTGTTGTGCATTATATGATGTATGATTACTAAGTTTGCGCGCAAAGTTGACGTTCAAAATCATCCATTGTTTAGAATCATATTTATCAATAGAAATTTGTCCATAAATCAATGTTAAAATCAATTATTTCTTTTGCATCATTATATTGACTTTATTATTCTTTACGAATTTGTTCACAGAATTGTTCAAATTCTTCAAAAGTCGTCTTTTCAATAAAATCCTAGGAAATCTACAGCAAATGTTAAAGAACAACATGAGAAATCACAGAAGCCAATAACTAAGTAAACTTATTAATTTCGATGATAATTGTTAATTTTATTTTCTCAACCTGTTCCTAAACAACAAATTAGTTTATTGCAGAATTTTTGTTACATTTTAGTCGTCGTCATTTAAAATTTTTTCAAAAGGCCGATTCTCAAAACCATCCCTCTAAAATGGACAACCTATGAGGATTTTGAAGATTGATTTTGCGCTCTAACTGAACAAATATGCACCGTAAAAACGATATTTCTCAAATAAATCCTAAAAAATTTCTCCACAATACAACATTCTCAGTTCAACCACCATACATTGCCGGTTACTTCCTTTAAATAGGAAAACAGAACGTATACCGGATGAATAATCCACTATTACTGGGATTAATGTAATACCTTAGGATGCACATGCTGCCTGTCTCTCATCTTCTGCTTCTGCAAGCTATTCATCAATGTGAGTAAACTCTCCATTATCCCGGGCACATTCAGCACATGGATAGCCTATACACACATTCAATACATTCAGCACATGGATAGCCTACACACACATTCAATACATTTAGCACATGGATAGCCTACACATACTTTCAATACATTCAGCACATGGATAGCCTACACACACAATCAATACATTCAGCACATGGATAGCCTACACATACATTCAATACATTAATCACATGGAAAGCCTACACACACATTCAATACATTCAGCACATGGATAGCCTACACACACATTCAATACATTCAGCACATGGATAGCCTACACACACATTTAATAAATTCAGCACATGGATAGCTTACACACACATTCAATACATTCAGCACCAAGATAGCCTACACACACATTCAATACATTCAGCACATGGATAGCCTACACACACATTCACCTATTCATCTGTTCATCTATTCTTCGATTCATCCTTTCATCTTTTCAATACATTAATCACATGGATAGCCTACACACACATTCAATACATTCAGGACATGGATAGCCATACACACACATTCAATACATTCAACACATGGATAGCCTACACATACATTCAATACATTCAGCACATGGATAGCCTACACCGTTCAATACATTCAGCACATGGATAGCCTACATACACATTCAATACATTCAGCAGATGGATAGCCATACACACACATTCAATACATTCAGCACATGGATAGCCTACACACATTCAATACATTCAGCACATGGATAGCCTACACACGTTCAATACATTCAGCAATGGGTAGCCTACACACGTTCAATACATTCAGCACATAGATAGCCTACACACATTCAATACATTCAGCACATGGGTAGCCTACATACACATTCAATACATTCAGCACATGTATAGCCATATACACACATTCAATATATTCAGCACATGGATAGCCTACACACACATTCAATACATTCAGCACATGGATAGCCTACATACACATTCAATACATTCAGCGCATAGATAGCCTACACACACATTCAATACATTCAGCACATGGATACCTACACACATTCAATACATTCAGCACATAGATAGCCTACACACACATTCATTACATTCAGCACATGGATACCTACACACATTCAATACATTCAGCACATAGATAGCCTACACACACATTCATTACATTCAGCACATGGATAGCCTACACACACATTCAACACATGGATAGCCTACACACACATTTAATACATCGAAATTTTTAATATCATACCTTTGGCTTGTTAGGGTATGCATCTTGAAAAATAGTAGTAATCTTCTTAGCTAGAGATGCACTCATCAGAGATGCATGTCCGGCCGTCATTCCTGACATATCCTAAACAGCATGCATATTTTTAACAGCATTCCTGGTATTTACAAAACAGCATGTTTATACTAAACAGTATTCCTTGTATTTACAAAACAGCATGTTTATACTAAACTTTATTCCTTGTATTTAAAAAACAGCATGCATATCTTAAACAGCATTAATGGTATTTACAAAACAGCATGTTTATACTAAACAGCATTCCTGGTATTTACAAAACAGCATATTTATACTGAACAGTATTCCTGGTATTTACAAAGCAGCATGTTCATACTAAACAGCATTCCTGGTATTTGCAAAACAGCATGTTTATACTAAACAGCATTCCTGGTATTTACAAAACAGCATGTTTATTCTAAACAGTATTTCTTGTATTTACAAAACAGCATGTTTATACTAAACAGCATTCCTGGTATTTACAAAACAGCATGTTTATACTAAACAGTATTTCTTGTATTTACAAAACAGCATGTTTGTACAGTATTCCTGGTATTTACAAAACAGCATGTTTATACTAAACAGTATTCCTTGTATTTACACTTTAGATCGTTTTTAAACAAATCCCAACCCTACTCTCTAGCACTAGAATTATATCATTTTCTTCTCAATATATTTCGCCAAAAACTTTAGCATCATCAGGAGTTTGTCCTATAATATAACAGATATAAGCAAAAAATAAAAATAAATAATACAAACACAGCAACTAAAATAAACAAAGAAGAGAAAAAAATAAAAAATCTTTTTATGTAAAATGGAATTTTTCAAAATGAATATTGTCAAAACACATAAAACTTAGAAAAATTAGAAAACCGTACCTTTCTCTTTTGAAGAGTATTGAATGACTGGAAAAGGATTGACTAGTTTATGGGCGTATGCAGTGGGGGAAGGGGGGGGGNTAAACAGTATTTCTTGTATTTACAAAACAGCATGTTTGTACAGTATTCCTGGTATTTATAAAACAGCATGTTTATACTAAACAGTATTCCTTGTATTTACAAAACAGCATGCATATCCTAAACAGTATTCCTTGTATTTATAAAACAGCATGTTTATACTAAACAGTATTCCTTGTATTTACAAAACAGCATGTTTACACTGAACAGTATTCCTTGTATTTACAAAACAGCATGTTTATACTAAACTGGCTGAAGGGCCCGGTGTTGCCCGTGGAAAAATAATAATAAAAAAAATAATTCGATTTTTTACCTATAACATTCCTGGCCTCACATGAGTGTCCACAAAAAATTTATATACAAATGTCTTGTTTTATTATATAGATAGTATTTCTTGTTTTTCCTAGACACCATTCCTGATATTACATAAAAAGCATCGCAATATTTAAACTATCTTTGAAGCATCATGCATCATGCAACATATGCATCGCATACAAAATGTCCTAGAAAACTGTGAAATAAGAAGACGACAGTTTTTTTTTTAAATATTTCGATAAACAAGAAATACAGCAGTAAGGCAGTGTACACTGTACAGTGTACACAAACCAATTCAATTTGAGAATTTAATTTAACATGAACATAAACCATCTCCATATTCCACAATGGGTCCAAAAGTAGATACCAAAATCATCCTGCAGTGGTAGGCGATTATATCAATACAATGAAGACGAAGAGCTTAATCAAGCTGTTAACAGCATGGATAGTAAATATAAACATAAGAAGTCAAGACTGAAGAGAAGATGTTAATTAAATTACTTGTAAACTTGAAATTCGAAAACAGCTTGATAACAATGAAAACTTAAATAAAAAGTCGTCTTCATCGATATAGTCACCTACCACTGCATGAAATAATACAATAACAAAAATGCATGTACCCATCAAACTTTGTAATACCATCAATACCAATTATGTAATGCAAAAACATTATATAATGCGCGTGTATGTAATGTATGACAAAATGCAAATTATTTAATGTTTGATTGATTTTTGATTAGGTTAAATTGATTTATTGATTGATGGATTAATCTATTAATATCCAGTATTCGATACTGAACCTTTTGAAACCAAAAGCAGGTTATTATTGGTTGATTAATTGATTGATTCCATTAATACATTACCTGTATAATACTGACACCCTTCAGAACAGCTTGAGCATTATCTCGCATAGCAAGCTCAGTTAACATCATGTTGCACTAAATGATTTTTAAAAATTTTATGCAAAAATAAACATACTGGTAGGGATGGATCGATTCCACTTTTTTGAAAAACGATCGTTTCGTTTTAAAAACAATGAAGAAAAAACGAAAACGAAACGGTCGTTTTAAAAAACGATCGTTTTGCGTTTAAAAAAACGGACACTTTTAAAAACGATCGTTTTTAAAACGGCCCTTCGTTAACGGTCGTTAACGACGACCCATCGTTAACGACCGTTAACGACGACCCTTTGTTAACGACTTTTAACGACGACCCTTCGTTAACGATCGTAAACTTCCTTTTAAAGAGAAAATACATTTTTTGGTAGAAAAATCATTCAGATATTTGTCTCGATAAAAAAATTATGACAACAATCATAACTTTATCTTGCTGAACAAAAATTGAAAAAAAAGATTCAAACCAAGTTTTTCGTTTTCAAAACGATCATTTTTTCTAACGAAACGATAGTTTTTAGAAAAAAATAAAAACCAAACGAAAAAAAAACGTTTTTCGATCGTTTTTCAAAACGATTAAGAACAACAGTATCAAAAAATATTTGATAAAGGTCGTTTAAAAAGTAATTAAAATTTGAAATCCCCTGGAAGGAAGACTCCAGCTTCCTTGTAACTCAAGATTAGAAGGTCGGACATTTAAACTATCGGAAATGTTTCTTAAATCAGAATTTAATTATTTATGAATTTGTTTATTTTTTATTTAAATAAATGATAGATAACAATTTAGGCTAAAACATGTATTTATTTTATTTAGGTAAAGGAAATAAGTTTTTGTCAAAAAAACTAATTTTCTAATTCCTATATCTTGGAAACCTGATGTCGTAGACCTTTTATATTTCAAACTATAAATTCTAATCGATCAAAAATAAATGTAAGAGTTAGAAAATTAGTTCCTATGTAAATAATGACAAGGACTACATCTCTTTGGGATGTGAATCAAATATTTTAAGGTTGAACAAATTCTTTTAATATATTGCTAAAATCAAAAATAAATAGACAAAAGACGACATTTCGGCCCCCCGTACTGTACCTTGAGTAAATCCTCGAGTTTTGAAGTTGAAGGATTTAGATTTCCAGGTTTGAGAAGTAGAACATACCTACCCTGCTTGTCATATCCTCGTAAAGGAATAATTATCCTAAAAATATGTGTAAGTTAAAAATCTAAGAATTTAATTAAAATCAAAGTTTTATCATAAAACTGACATTAACTAGATAAGATTCCTGAACAGGAGGTTTATAGATCAGATTCCTGAACAAGAAGTTTATTGATAAGATTCCTGAAAAGGTGGTTTATTGATCAGATTCCTGAACAGGAGGTTTATTGATCAGATTCCTGATCAGGAGGTTTATTGATCAGATTCCTGAACAGGAGGTCTATTGATCAGATTCCTGAACAGGAGGTTTATTGATCAGACTCCTGAACAGGAGGTTTATAGATCAGGTTCCTGAACAGGTGGTTTAAAGATCAGATTCCTGAACAGGAGGTTTCTTGATCAGATTCCTGAACAAGGGGTTTATATATCAGATTCCTGAACAGGAGGTCTAAGATCAGATTCCTGAACAGGAGGTTTATTGATCAGATTCCTGAACAGGAGGTTTATAGATCAGATTCCTGAACACGAGATTTATTGATCAGATTCCTGAACAGGAGGTTTATAGATCAGATTACTGAACAGGAGGTTTATTGATCAGATTCCTGAACAGGAGGTTTATAGATCAGATTCCTGAACAGGAGGTTTATAGATCAGATTCATGGACAGAATAGGAGGTTTATTGATCAGATTCCTGAACAGGAGGTTTATAGATCAGATTACTGAACAGGAGGTTTGTAGATCAGATTCCTGAACAGGAGGTTTATTGATCACATTCCTGAACAGGAGGTTTATAGATCAGATTCCTGAACAGGCTACTCGAAGACGTTCCTGAGCACCAGGATATCCAAAACTCACTTCCATCAAAAGCATATTTTTGCGCACACCACAAGAAAATTTGCGTAAAATTGCGAAAAATTTTACGTTCTCATTTTTACTTTAAAAAGTTGATAAATCCTTTAAAGAAATTGTTAAGATCAGGAACTAATATGAATTCACCTACCCCGCGTTTATAACAGTTTTAACATTTACGAGAGCTGGATTCCAGTCAGCGAAAAATTCAGGACAGCTCCCTCGGACGGTGAAGAAAAAATCTATTTTCTCCTGAAATAATGTTTGAAGAGATAAAAGTAACAAACAAATTTTTCTTTTAATTGTACAATTATCATTTAAACACTTTTCTGTGCTAATTTGATACAGTGCGCTCAACTGAGAAACATTTTTCAGAAGCAAAGAGAACTGGGACTTTCTGTTCAAAAATTACAATATTTAATTTTTACTATTATTTAAAACAAAAATGATACCTTTGTCCTTTCGAGGCTGTATTTGCAACCTCGCAGGAAAACTCGCAAAAATGCATCATCTTAAATAATGTATTTTTTAATATAATTTTTTTTTATGAAAATTATTTGTTTTTAAAACAAGAATTTTTACCTTTTCTAATAGATTGCAAATGAGGACTTTTATCAATCCATTGTAGCAATGAGTCTACATCTTTCTAAAAACACGACATTTTCAGTAAATCTTTATTTTTAATATCACATTTTCAGTAGATCTTTATTTTTAATATTACATTTTCAGTAGATCTTTATTTTTAATATTACATTTTCAGTAGATCTTTATTTTTAATATTACATTGTCAAGCGATCTTTATTTTTAAAAATTACATTTTCAGTAGATCTTTATTTTTAATATTACATTTTCAGCAGATCTTTATTTTTGATATTACATTTTCAGTAGAGTTTTATTTTTAATATTACATTTTGGTAGATTTTTATTTTTTAACATTTCATTTTCAGTAGAACTATACTTTTAATTTTACATTTTTAGTACATTTTCAGTTGATTTTCATTTTTCAATTTTACATTTTCTGTAGATTTTTATTTTTTAACATTACATTTTAAATAGATCTTAATTTTTTCACTTTACATTTTCGGTATCTGTAGATCTATTATTTTTAAATTTTACATGTTTAGTAGATCTTCATTTTTTAATATTACATTTTCAGTAGATCTTTATTTTTCAATTTTACATTTTCGGTAGATTTTTATTTTTTAACATTAAATTTTCAGTAGATCTTTACTTTTAATTTTACATTTTCAGTAGATCATTATTTTTTAATACATATTATTACATACTCGGTATATTCCTATTCTTTTTTATATTAGGGTGGTAGGCGATTACATCAATATATAAAAAAGACTTTAGATTTTCATTTTGATTTATATCAAGCTTTTAAGCAGCATGAATCATGAAACACATAAACATGAAACAGAGAGAAGCTGCCAATTTAAAAAGCCTCTCTATAATTCCTTGTAAACTTGTAATTCTCAAAAGGTTTGTTGACAAATAAAACTTAGGTATAACGTCGTCTTCATTATTTTGCCTACTCCCGTGCATTCTAGGATTATTTCTTTTATATAAAGTAGATTTTCATTTTGTTTAAAAATATTCAAACTGAACATATTTTGTAATCATATACTGCGATCTTCATGTAGTCCAAATCAAATTGGACTACAGGGTGTCCCAATGAAAACGACTTTGAATCATCTTTGTAAATAATTTTCAATTTAATTTTGCGCTGTCTCTTAGGAAGCTGTTATCCGTAGAATGTTTATTCTGCCAGAGTTCACAATTTGTTTATAGAAATTCCTGAACGCCATTAACTACAAAGCAAATGTTACAAAAAACATCATACAAGTACACGTGGCTTTATTATGACAATTGAGATTTAGTATTACAATTTTCTGACACCCTGTATTTATATATATATATACTTTGCTTGTCTGTCTGTCCGTTCGTTTGTCTGTTTGTGTACAATAAACGTCAAAACGACTGAACCAATAGGGCCAAAAATGACCCCAGAAATGGTGTTTGGAAAAATTTGTATCCAAAAGTTATAAATAATTTTTATTAGATTTAAAAAATGCGCGAAAAAATACTATTAATTATCCGCGAACTTTTTTGTTATTGTTTAATATTATAGCCTAGTGCTGAAACTTGACCTATCCTTGACCTACCTTCATTTGTGTTTCATCCTCGCCAAACTCGTTTTTAGCATACTCAACAAGCTCAGCCGTACTCAGTGCATTTATCAGATCCGCCATTTTTATTCTTAAAGTGACAGACCGGCTATGTAATGTAGTTGAACTGAGTATGCAGTGTTGCGGAAAACTTCTTTAGGATTCATTTGAGACATAAAAAACTATTTAAAGATCTGTAAATCCTGAGTTTGAGCGCAAAAACTCCTACTTTGGGGGTGGATACGTTTTCAAAATTGGTTTTATTTTTAAATTACTAAATAACGACGACGAAAAATAAAGTAAAACTGATACAGTAAAATCAGTAAAATCAGATGGTTAGGAACATATTTCTCTAAAGAAATTTGTCACTAAATCAATGCTAGAATCAATTATTTCGTTTTCATTATTATTGAATTTCTAATCTTCTATGAATTTATTCGCAGTTTCTTCAAATTCTTCAAATGTCGTCTTTTCAACAATAGTTCCAGAAAATCTGCAGAAAATCTTTGTGAATAATGAGAAAATAAAACTAATAATTAAATAAGATTACTTATTTTCGATGATAAAATAAATTTTTATTTACTCAACCGGTTCCCAAACAACTAATTACTTTACTGTAGAGTTTTGTTTACATTTTTTGTCGTCGTTATATAATAATTTTTAAAAAAACGATTTTGAAAACGTATCCGCCCCCAAAGTAGAAGTTTTGAACGTCGAATTTGCGCTCAAACTCAGGATTTACAGATCTTTAAAAAGTTTTATATGTCTCAAATGAATCCTAAAGAAGCTTTCCACAACACTGCATACTCAGTTCAACTACCTTACATAGCCAGGTCGTCCCTTTAAAGGGACTGTATACGTAATTTTAAGTGCAATTTTAATTCTCAAAGGGGCTATAAGCGTTATTTGAAATGCTCCTTTATTACAATTCTTAATTACTGCACTGATGCATAACGAAAACTCTTAAGGGTTTGAGGATTTTCAAAAAAATCTATGAGAATTGGATTACAATAATTTCTCCTAATTTATTGGATATATTGCTGTTCACTTCTGATTGGTTTAAGTAAAAAACAACTGTTTTACAGTGAAAACGCATTTATGTTTTACGAAGACAAATCAAAGGAAACAACACACTAGACAAAAATATATAGTACTGCATAAATATATTAGTACTGCAAAAATATATAGTACTGCATAAAACCACAAAATAATCAACAAAAATTATTTTGAAGATAAGAACCGAGCTTCTAACATTGTAGAATTAAAAGACAATTTTATAGAAACCTATTTTGTGCGTTTATTTATAAGACTATAAACTGAAGACCTTGAAAGAGGTTTAAAAAAGGAAAGGAATTGAGTCTTTGCCACAAACTCTGAATTTATAATCCCTTTATCTTTGGAACCCAATGTCGTACATCTTTGATATTTCAAACTTATATTAATTTATCTAACAGAATTCATAGTGTGAAATATCTAAGGTCTACGACATTGGAATCCAAAGATATAGGGTTTAGAAAAGCAGAGTTTGTGGCAAAGAGTCAATTCCTTTACAAGTTTTTGTTTTGTTCAATCTTATTTTCAAAATTACAAAATTACAAAATTACACAACAGAATTTTGCTCCTTTCTAAGTTCTTTTGCCAGCTTGACAACTAATTATCTTTAAAAAGACCTTCCAAGATCGTAAAAGATCGAAAGAAGTATTGCTATTAACCTTTTTTATAACCATGATCTAGCTAAATAAGATATGCTAAAGTTTTTAATGTTTTCTTATGAAATACTAATCTGAACTCCAGGTTTAGACAAAATCTTATCTTTTTTCAGAGATAATACATTGTGTAATGTGTACTCTCGTATTATAAAGTTTAAAATACTATTTGAGGACATAATTAATTAATTTTTAAATCATTAAGGAAATTTCTTTAAAGCTAGTTTAGTTCTATTTTTATAAGTGCAAAACTATCTTAAAAAATCATGGAATTTTTTATGAAATTTTCATTTATTTGCTTTCAACTCCTCTTGCAGCTGTTTAATCTTCGTTTATTTATCAAACTTTCATTATCATGTAGCGTCTAGCATATATCCGTTCTATCTCATTCTGTTGAATCTTGTGGAACTAGTTTAACGCGGCCAGGCATCGTCTTCCACAATATAGACATTTATTACAATGCTAGGCTTGTAGGGTGCTGCGCGTACCTTTTCTAATAACAATCTAAGCTTTTAAATGTTGTTTTAAAGCCGGTATATTTCTCAACGTTAATGTTGTATATTCCGAGATTTATTTTCTACAGGGTGTCCCAAAAAACATGGGAATTCAGTGACGAATTAGATATGGTCTTTGTTATGAATTAGCATTGTAATACCTAATTTCAAAAGCCATAATATAATTATGTCTGCTAGAGTGTATTTTATGAAAAGGGTAAAAGAATGTAAAGATGTGTCTATAATGTCTCCACAAGATGAATAGTGAAGACGGACAAGTTTACTCTGTTTGTATACTTTAATTTTCTTGTTTTACTATGTACAACCGTATGCAGTCAAAACATAAACAAACAAAATGTGAACATAGCAGACGAAACTTATACAGATTACAGCTTTCTCAGTAGGTATCACTATACTAAATCAAAGAATTATTTGTAAAGACGATATCGAATTCGTCACTGAATTCCCATGTTTATTGGGACACCCTGTATGACCAACAAATTCTGTTTATTTGATAAAACTATAGTAATAAAACAACTGCGACATATTCCTTTTATTAAAACATATTTAGAGCTGGTAGATCATGATTTATTTAATAATATCTTTATTAATAATTCTTTTGGACGGAATTCAACCCTTTGGAGCTCCTGCCAGATTACTTCTATCCAACCCTTGATCCTCTTCCAGTTCTCGATAACCTTAATCCTAGATTGTTCCAGAACTCTGTAAACTCTTCCATTTCATCTACATGATCTAGGATCTCATCTACATGATCTAGAGTCTCATCATGATCTACTCCTCGACCTCCCTTCTCTTGTTCTCCTTCATCTGTGCTTTGAACTCCTTCATCTCCAGTCTCCTCCGGTATCACATCAGCAGTTAAAGCACGAGGATTATGACCAAGATCATCCTGGTAATACCCGTTCATTCATTCTCATAAAGAGGGGAAGGCAATCAGTAATGTCTGAGATAGATATATGTAAAATTATATAATGAACAGACATATTCCTTTCTGCTTTACATCAATAAAAATAAAATATTTCGCGGATTTTTCTGTTCAAATCGGTGGATTTACAAAAATTGCAAATTTAGACATTTTTCTCCAGGCATAACATTAAATTTTGACCACTTTTCTTTAAACAATAGAATAATAAAAACCAATATTGACTTCAATCAAATAAATTAGAGGAGCTAGGAGGTCACAAAGTCATACCAGTAATGTCGCATAACTTTGACTTTCTCCTTCATTCTAGTTCAAAGTAAAATTGTATTAAAAGTAATATTAGAATTGAAACCATGCAGACAACAATAAAAGCAGAAGTTTTCTAATTATAAATATATTTTGGGTTATGTAAGGTATTTATTGAGGAAATTCAGGGTTACCAACTAAGGATGCGACTAAATTAACGACTTGAAAGTATTTCTTTCTTAAGATATGGAAGGGTTGGTTGGTCTTTTATAAAAAAATGTGCTAAATGATTTATAAAATAAATCAGATAGTTTAAAGCTACAAGGCTGGGGAACTATCAGAGTAAGAAAAAAGGCTGACACAATTCCGTACAGTCGTCTCTGAAGTCTCATACTTTGTGGGTAACCCTGTTTTAGAAATTTCAATATAACAGGTCAATTCAGAGACATGCTGCCAATTTAGGAGGGAGTAACAGCAATTATCAAAAATATCATAAATAGGAATTTCCCCAAAACCCAGGGAATTTTCCAAATGCCTGGGTATCTAAGAAATTTCCCAAATACTTAGGTATCTTGAAAATTTCCCAAATACCTACAGACATTTGAGGATGGTATATTTTTAAGATTTTGGAAATGTCTCAAATGACTGGAAATTTCCAAGACACCCAGGCATTTTGGGAATTTCCCAAATGCCTAGGTTTTGGAAAATTCCCCAAATATCCAGTCATTTGAGAAATTTCCAAAATCTTAAAAATATACCACCCTCAAATACCTATAGGAATTTCCCAAATGCCTGGGTATCTGGGAAATTTCCCAAATGCCTTGGTATCTGGGTGTTTTGTGGAGATAAGGTTCCGGATCCAGACTTAAATATATCCTGGAGAATTGAATCCTTCCATGTTAAGGTGGCAGGATAGATGAAAATATAGGATCCGTCCAGACTCAGACTCAGACTCCGATATATAGGCTAATCCTCTCCATGAGAGATATAATAAATTGTTATGATCAATCCTTTCCTCGCTCCAGAGAAATGAAATAACCATGGCCTGTTCAACAGCCTAAATTTGTTGTTAGAAATGTTTTTTTCTTTCTTGAAATTAACTCCCTCTCCAACCCCCTGGCCGGATATCTCTACTATAAACCCAGTGACTCTTTTAACACACTCATACTCATTACTTTCAATCAGACCTGGTCGTTTTCCATTTCATTATGGTACCCTATTTACATACATAGTTTATGCTGACCACTTTAGTTAATGTTAATACCATTTATACATCAAAAACGAAGAAATAAAGTTCCTTAACATTTATTTTTCTAAATAATTTTCCACCATTCGTATAATCGTTTCCTTCCCTGGGTTAGATTTAAAGATCTGAAGAGGGATGAGAATACTCTTGATCTCCTCCTCACCCGGAGCCAGGTTCAGGAGCTGAGCCACAGAACCTTGGCTCACCGACCATAACAGGTCCAGAATCCGGTTCTTGGTTGGTAAATCCAGGACGGATTCTTCTCCGGCTCCAGGTTCAAGGACGGATTCTTCTCCGGCTCCAGGTTCAAGGACGGATTCTTCTCCGACTCCAGAGTTTACGACGGATTCAAGTTCTTCATCGTCTCCTTTAAATAAAAGAGAAAGTAAAGATTTTCTTTCATTTTATCATGTTTTAAATTCATATACAGTGGTAGGTGTTTATATCAATACAATGAAGATGACTTTTTTATTTAAGTTTTGATTGTCAAAAAGCTTTTTTTGACAGCTTCTCTTGACTTCTATGTTGATGTGTATCCAATATCCATGCTGTTTAACAGCTTAATACAAATAAAAATTTAAATCATAATAGTCTTCATTAATTGATATAATCATCTACCACTGTAATATTTATGAAAAATTCATCTGGATAGGATTGTAAAAAAGACGAAATTTAGTTTCAGCATTTCTATCCTGAATATCACTTACTAAATGTCGTCTTTTCTTAAGATGTTGATTATAACAGCTAGAACAAATTTGGTTGGTGTCATATCATCATCATCAATGAATGGTCACCACTTTTGAGTCTAATAGGGCCAGGATAGTGTTGGTTTTATGTTCACCTTTAATAATGGCGATATCACAGATAGAAAGGTTGTAAAGATGAACAAGGAGATTCATGTCTGCTGTCTTGATTACACCAGAGAACAGGGAACAGTAGTTTAAATATACATTCTCTACTCTCATCTACACAAATATAAGAATTCAACAAGGACAAGGACAAGGACAGGGACAGGACAAGGACAGGACGAGGATAGGACAAGGACAGGACAAGGACAGGACAAGGACAGGACAAGGGCAGGACAAGGACAGGACAAGGACAGGACAAGGAAAGGGACAGGACAAAGACAGGACAATGACAGTATAAGAACAGGACAAGGATAATTACATGACAAGGACAGGACAAGGACTGGACAAGGACAGGACAAGGACTGGACAAGGACAGGACAATGACAGGAGAGGGGCAGGACAAAGACAAGGATAGGACAAGGACAATAACAGGACAAAAAAGAACAAAAACAGGACAAGGACAAGGAAAGGACAAGGACGTAGACAAAGACAAGAACAAGAAGAACCAGTAAAAAGGCTATGACAAGACAAAGGACGTGGACTAAAGATGAACAATGAATAAGAAAAAGAACTGAATTAGACCTTCATTCCCGGAGATAAAACCAGAATCCGGACACAATCAGAGATAATCTTCAGCGACTTAAACTCAGAGATTAATGTTTTACTCTGCTCAGGGTTGAATGATTTACTCTGCTCCAGGTCCAAGATCTTGCTCTCCTCAAGGTTCAAGATTTTACTCTGCTTAGTGCTCAATGTTTCACTCTGCTCAGGGTTTAATGTTTTACTCTGCTCAGGGTTCAACTGTTCACTCTGTTCAGGGTTCAAGATCTTGCCTTGATCATGCAAACGAACCAACACCTAAGGATAAGACAATGAAGAAAAATTTGTGGAAGATTTAAATATTCAAAAAAAAATCTTGCAAAGTTTGTACCTGGAGAAGAATGATGAATTCCTGTTTCATCAGTATGGGAAGAAGCGCCAGAATTTCTTCTTTTAAATTCTCCAGAGGAAGTAATCTTTGCACTACATCTTCAACCAATCCTCCCTAGAAATAAAAAAAAATAAAAATAAAAATAAAAAAAATTCCATAAAATTTTGTGGAAATTACGTCTCAAAGGGAAAATTAAAATAAAATTTAGAATTTAAAAAAAACCATTGATTACTGTCCAGGATAATACATTTGTCATGGAAAAAGAAAATGAGCTTTAAATTAAACTTAACTCTGCAAGAAAAGATATTAGATATGCGCTTTACAATTGTAATATTTACCTGCGAGTAGGAGTACTGAATACAGCTCAGTAAACAAGGAGTTTTTCCCGCCAAAAAATATGAGAGGAGGGACGGATGAAGGAGAGATCCAAGATGGCTGCCCCCCTCTAGATTCTTCATCAACAAATTGAAAACCTGGATACAAACCTCCCGGAGTTTGAAACCATTCTCTGACTGGGTTGGGTTGGTTGAGTTCAGCAGGACGGAGAAGAGAACTAAGGTTTCATTTCTCTCGGTCTCTGGGAGACTAGAGATAAACTCCGGTAAGGACAATATTTTTGCTGTTAGGTCTACAAGAACGAGAATATCCTAAACAAAAAGCATGAATCAATTTTTTATCAAACTCTCTGACATGCTTGAGAAATAGAAATAAAAAATCAAATTTAATAAAAATCAGTGTGCATCTAGCTTTCAGAGAAGCAACAATTAGGTCTTGCCAGGCACTGCTCAAAGTATTTAGAGATACAGGGTGAGAGAGAGAAAATGGCAAACTAGAGAAACTTTAGCCAGGGGTGTATATCCCCCTAATACACCCCTGTACACAAATGGAAAAGAAAAAAACGGAACTATAAGTTAATCTTTTAACGCTGTATTAACCTGGAGAATGGAGGTTTTTTACCTAGCTGTATTCAGATTTTGCGACTGAGAGTTATAAATATACTCCTTAATAACAAGCCTAGTTAGCTGTTATTAAGTATCCGAACTCGTCGGAAAGACGTTAAAGGGACCGTTCACTTCTTTGGGTAATTTCAGGGTAAACTAAACAGCCAATTCGCTATTGATTGGTAATAGTCTTACTTTTCAAAGACAACTGTGGTCGGAGAAAAAGCCGATTTTCCGTTCAGAATACGAGCACAAAGGGACGGTCCCTCTCTCTAGACACTAATTGATGTTTTCTTCAGTATGTTGTGACTTGTGTATCAAAATAAATTTCAAATATAAAATTAAACTGTAGTATCTAATCGTTAATTGTAAATGTCAATATTTTTAAATTTCTTTTGTTTTTTAACTTTCTATTTCTAAAAAAAAACACTATTTTATTGCATTCAAAATTGTGTATTGCCTGTTTAAAAAGCTGAATTGAACGCGGCATGAAAAATGAAAAGTTGTGCACATACGGGAACTAAATCTACAAAATCTACGAACCAAAATCGAGTAACGATTAATTGATTTTACGAAAAACGGAAATTTCTTGTTAACTCAAATATCAAAAGTTTTCATATTTTAGTACATAATAACGAACACATAATGACATTAAAACATAATAAATTTAAATGTTATTGGGCTGCTGTTACTAAAAAAACATCAAATATTGTCTAGAGAGAGGGACCGTCCCTTTGCGCTCGTATTCTGAACGAAAAATCGGCTTATTCTCCGGCCACAGTTGTCTTTGAAAAGTAAGACTAATACCAATCAAGAGCGAATAGGCTGTTTAGTTTACCCTGAAATTACCCAAATAAGTGAACGGTCCCTTTAATTCTTTCGATTGAATCTGGTTCCATGTGTAAGCATCAAGGGAGCTCAAAACAGTCAGGTTCTTATACAACTCTCTCCAATTTCTTGTGGCTGAAGAGAACCCTGTATGGAATAAAACATGACAGTACACCCTACTTGGAAAAAAGAAAGAAAATAATAGTGCAGAGAAGGAGGGGTTTCTCTATGCTTCTCTTCTTCCTCCCTCTGCCAGAAACAAGGAAAATGGAAACTTACAAAGTAGAATCCTGATAGGTTGTGCACCATGCACTATGATACCAGTTTATACTTGAGCGCTTAACCTTTCTTATCCCATTTGTCATTATTAAAGCGTAATTCTTACAATGGATCCTCGGAATTTTCAAACCCCGCTCAGCAGTGACTTTTATTAGTCAAAAACGTAACCAGGATTTGGACATGAAACTCAAAGTAAAACTGCAGAAACCTACAAACAAAAACAAGAAGAAAAAAGAAAATTGAACATGAAAAACGGTAGGTAATCTCTGATGAGTAGCTCTCTCTCCTAGTGCAGAGAAGGAGAGTTTCGCTATGTGTTAGAAGGCCTGACCTTCAATCAGTTGTATAGTCAGACATTCCTGGATAAGCAATAAAACTGAACATTACAAATACATCTGAAATCTAATATAATACACTTCCGACCTACTCATCATCCGTTATACTACACTTCCGACAAACTCATCATCCGTCATACTACACTTCCGACCTACTCATCATCCGTTTTACTACACTTCCCACCTACTCGCACAACTACAATTGAGCAGAGTGTCCCAATAAATACTGGTTTTGGCAACATTTCTATTTTCTTTCAAAATTAATTTTTCTATATAAGATTCAAAATTCAAAAATAATAAATTGTAAAAAATGAGATAAAAATGATATTAAATTACCTGATTTTGATTAAACAGATTGAATATAGTTTGTAGAAGACTAGGATAAAGTTGAAGAGAGTATATCAGGGTGTATCCTCCCAACTGCAGAAACAGTTCTAGACTATTCTCTTCAGCTCTAGAGATTACATATTCATTTTATTATTCTTATTCGTTAAAAATTTATGATATTTAGTGCAAATCTTAATAAAGCGAAACTAGCGCCAATCTTACTAAAGCGTGATTTCCAAAATGTGGTCTGCCGTTTTTTGTCTCTATATTACCAGAGATATAAAGAATTTTGTAAAGGTTTCAATTTATTAAACAAAACCAAAATTGTTTTATCCTAAACCAAGTCATTATTTTCTTTGTTAATTATGAAAGCACGAAAACAGACAGACCACATTTGTGAATTGGTAAGACTAGGAATACTTTGTGAAAATATTTCTAAAATTAGGTTGCTAGATCAATGTCCAAACTATTTCAAACGTCAAAAACAACTTTCAATTCTTTCGCAATTGTTAAGAAATTAATAATAATAATAAACAATTAAAAAATAAGATAAATAAATAGTTATTGGATCCAAATTTTTTAAAATTTAAATCTAGAAAAAAAATCAAATATTAACGAAGAAAAAGTACATATCAACATTTAAAAAAACTTGGATTTTAAAATGTTTATTTTTTTATTGGAACTGGACTAGTCGGGCTTATTACCTTTTCTGCAGGATGTATTTGATAAATATTTCTCCGAGAATACTCGTCCCGTCCTTACTCCGGGTACACACAGGTTCAAGGTATCGAAGTATCCTAGAGATTGATCCAATCTGTCCAGAGTTTTTAGAACCTTCCTCCACCAAGGTTTCAACAGTTTTCTCTCCGTTCTGCAGAGCAAGTATGAGAAAGTCCTGACGAACCTCGTCATTTTCCACACCGGAGGCTTTGTTTAGAGCTTGGACGAACTCAAGATCGAATGAATCCGTCTCTAGGACATCAAACCTTCTCCCTGGTTCTAGGTCTACCCGGAGAAGGTTTAACAGATCCTCTGAAGAACTGCATCGAGCAATACGAACTAGAAATTGTCTCTGAAACTCTGGAATATCAGGTTGACCTGTCAGCTCCAGGTAGAGGCCGGTTAGGGCGCCGGTCAGCTTTGATACATGCTCACTTAGAATCTTGATATTTTCGTCTAGTTTCAGAACTTCCGGTAGATGGGCAGATACAATTTTATCTAAAATTGAATTAATTAGTACATTACTTATGAAATTATAAGGATATTAAACAATTTTTTTACCCAAAGTCTACGCTTAAATATTTGTCACTTATGTGTTATCAAGGTTGACATCCACCACTTGTTTCATCCAATTAAACAAAGAATTACAAATCTGAGAACTATATTGTCTGAGTTTGCCAGGATGGATGAAATGAGCTTAACTCCAAACATAAACTTGCCTTTCATTGGTCAAAGTTCGTAGATTCAAGATTGGACCAATCAGAGATCAAGAATATTTAACTTTGACTTATAAAAGAACAGAAAACCTAATTTGTATTAACACATATCATCGAGTTAAACACGTAAATTTAAAAGTTTTAGTTCAGATTGATTTCATAAAAAAGTCCCCATTTCGGAGAATCCAAATATCCGGTTCCCATGAGGGAGGGAGTCCAGAGTTCCTCAAATAGTAATCACCGCCACCCAAATCTGTTTTGCAGCAAGCGCGCTCCTCAATTGGTAATCTTCACCACCTCAAATAGTAATCACCCCAAAAAAGATAAAATTAAATCGTTTATTTCTTAGAAATAAGACCATATTGACCTCTTTTAATTGCCCTATGGTGTACAATATTGTTAAAGTTTTCTTTATTGCTCCTTAGTTTCGAGAATAAATCAATAAATATTCCACACTAAGTGCTAGAAATACATTACGTTTTTTGGTTTTAAGTTTCGCTTTAAGAATGTTTGCGGCATTTTCCTCTGAATGTTGTTTTAAACTCCTTATATAGAGAGGAAACTTTAACCCATTATTAGTGGACTAAATACTTCATTTTCAGTAGTGGGTGTGATGAGACTAATTTTTCAAAATTTTATGTTCTTTCTATGCATATAATTAGTTTTGTTGTAGATGCTGAACTCGAGTAGGCGAATACAAAAATCTAAACACTGTAAAGGTTTTTTGAAAATATCTTTTAAATGGAGATGGATATTACTTTGGGTGTGATGAGATAATTTTTAGTAGACAGGCAGCCCGACCTTTTTTGTATCTTGACGCCAATCATGAAATGTAGTCATTAAAGTGGCGAATTGGATCTAAGATTCGGCTAAAATGAACTGTGCCTTGATTCTCAGTTTTTGTTGACCAAACAAATCTGAAAATAATTTGAAAATTTAGTTTAAGTCAATACAGATGCCCTAAAACCCCGATAGATGTCAAAAATTGTGTTAAAAGTGCATTAAAATCAAATCACAGAAAACAAAATTTTACGGTGATTACTAATTGAGGTGGTGGAGATTACCAATTGAGGAGAGCGCTTGCCGCAAAACAGATTTGGGTGGCGGTGATTGCTATTTGAGGAACTCTGGACTCCCTCCCTCTTCCCATAGCTTATTGAATAATACCTAGATAAGCTTGTATCTTCCAATCTTCAAGTCCTGATATCTTCAGGTTGGTCAGGATCTCGTCAAGCTTTAGTTCATCCAGGTTGAGTTCAAGTTCCCTCCTGTATTCACAGGAGAACCCGGAGATAACATTCAACAATGCGTCCTGACTCTCCTTGCCATCTACATTACCTAGTATTATCTGATTTAAATCATATTATTTTGTGTTTTGGCGTAGAGCTATAATAAGAGAATCACGAAATGAGTCAGAATTTTTGTTGAGCTAGTTGGAGATACTTTTATTGATATCCAATGTTTCTTTAAAGTGTTAATTCACATTCCACATACAGTTCGAACAGGTTTAGACAATTCTATCAGTAAAAAACGGGGTTCACTCAACTGTAAAAAAAGGGGGGGGGGTGTTTGCCATTTTTGTTTTAAAATAAATACCCCTGCTTACTTTTAAGAAGAGTGGCACACTCGTGCAGTAAATGCGCGGCAATAAACTGTACATGAGACGGTACATGAGGATCCCTCCACACTCCCGATATATAGTTGGTTCTCATCAGCTGTACACTAGACACCTAGAATAAACTATACACGAGACGGTACATGAGATCCACTTCACACTATATGGTTGGTTCTCATCAGCTGTACGCTAGACATATAGAATGAACTGTACATGAGACGGTACATGAGGTCCACTCCACACATATGGTTAGTTCTCATCAGCTGTACACTAGACATATAGAATAAACTGTACATGAGACGGTACATGAGATCAACTCCACACCATATGGTTAGTTCTCATCAGCTGTACACTAGACATCTAAACAATAAGATGATAGAAGAATTTCGTGAATTCTAAAGCCAAACTATTTCTCTCCAGGCCCCCATAGACCCTGGACAACCCTTCTTCAGTATCCAGGGCACCCTAAACACTGAACAACACCTAACTTGTATCCAGGTCACACAAGACAATGGCCAACTTTTATCTAGTATCCAGGGCACCCTAAACACTGAACAACACTTTACTTGTATCCAGGTCACTCAAGACACTGGACAACTTCTATTTAGTATCCTGGGCACCCTAATCACTAGACAACCCCTATTAAGTTAGCAGTAACCAACCTCACTCAGTTCAATCCAAGATTCAAAACTAAAATCTTCAATGAAAGCTCTGAGTGCGACCAAGAGAGGTTGAAGTATCTCCGTCCTTGTTCCTGTATCCGTCCTGTTCTCCTGGTGGAATCTGTAGAAGTTCATGAGCTCCTGAGGTCTACTGCTGTTCTCCAGGTGTCCCCGGAGTACGGTCAGAAGTGAGAGGAAGTTGTAAATCCGGGAGGTTTTGTTGTTTCCAGGTCGTAGAATCTGACTGAGATAATCTAAAAATTAAAAATAGATTACTTAAATTTCATATCGGATAAAAACATAAGCATTAAAAAGATCGAAACAAACTAACATTTACAGAAAATAAGATTGTTTACAGGACTTTTGATACTTTTTCAAAGAATAATAAAAAGATAAATATATATCAATCACCTTTTATCCAATTTTCTTCATTGTTGAGGAACTTTGCTGCTTTTCCTAATCCAGTCCAAACCGCTGTAGTATTCAGATCAGAAGCAGCGAAGCTATTCAAGGATTCAGCTGCTCCCGATGAAGCAGTTAAACTCTTCTTAAGCAGCTCTGCTGTCTCGTGAAGAAGAAGAGAAAGCACGGTATGAGGAAGAAATGGTGCGGAATCGAACAGAAACTGCCATAATCCAGTTTTACTTAAGGTATCTAAACAACGAGATAAATATACCAATTAGATTCAAGAAAGTTATTTATTATTTATAAAAAGATTTATTTTGGACATATCACTGTATTCTTGTGCACCATACAGTAGCTATTTACTGTTGTACAGTGGACAACTAATATAATCTTATGATCAGAAAAGTATCTATATAATGGAAATTAATAAATGTTAAATTATATGCTTTGTGTTTCATTAAAATCGGAAAAAAAGAAAAGAGAACTAGGGAAGAAATGGAATTAATGAAGGAGTAAAAAATATGACAATATATGAAATCAGAGGATGTGAGTACGTTATAGTAGGATAAAATAGGATTAGTCTAACTAAAAGAATTATCCCAACAAAGTAATTAATAATAAACTAACACTACTAACACATCCTTTCTAACTTTCTCCATCGTAAAATGTCTTAAATCATTTCCTAAGTATCTCTGAGTTCTCTTACAATACTCCTGCTTCACCTCCATTAAAAAATATAATTCTTTATTATTTCTTTTTTATTCACTTATTATTGTATAAACACAATTACATGAAGAAAAAAAAAAGTAAACTTAAACGATAAACCATTCTAAAAAATAAAGATATTCTCTTTTTTATCAGTTTTGCATCATACTTGTTGCAATCTAGTGTGTTTGATGTATATAGATTTTTAAACATATGACAGTTATTCTAATAATAATTAAAACTAATTCCTAACAGTTAATGATGTCTTTTCTTCCATTTACACAATTCAAAATTTTTATTTTGTTTTGCAAGAGGATTGAGGGGAATATATTCTGGCCGGAGTGTTGTGTTTTTGTCAAGCAATAGACTAATGATGGGCACTGATGAACATGACATTTGCACAGGCTGATCCAATTAAAAGTGCAGAAAGGATAGCACTAGTAAGTAAGGAAAAGTTAAGTAGGAGAATTTGAGAGAGAATTTTTTACGGAGCCAGTGAACACAGAGAACAAAAAAGATAGGAAAGGTTAGATGGAAGAGAAAAAACAAAAGAAACAAAATAAATTCTTGAAAGGAAAAATTTTTTTTTTTCTTATTTCTTCTTTTTACTTTTAATAACTGACTGAGAAAAGGACAAAAGAACATAACTCAATTATGTTTGAAAATCCAGCTTTCTACAAGTCATTGGCAAATCAACGCTTCATGCGACTATTAAAAATCATATTATCAACCAAACCAAATAGTTAAGCCTAAGGAAAAAAGGAAGTTAAGCCCGCGCAAAATAAGTGTTCACTATGGTTTACAGGGTTACCCATAGTCAAGTTTTTAAGACAATGGCGCAACACAAAACGTTGGGGTGTATGACTTTTAACTAATCTTGAGCAGAAAAAATAATAGAAAGACTTTGATAACAAACTGGAAATAGATTTATTGATATTTCGTTTTTATTTGTATGCGTGAGCTTGTGCCCACAATCTTTATCCAAAAATAAACTATTATTAAAGTTAAAAACTGTTGTACAGTGTACAGTATACAATACCTACTACCTACGCCATACGCCAACTGTTTAATGCTCTAAATTACATAACCAAAAATCTATTGTCTCATGTACAGGGTACAATGACATTATAAAGAACCTATAAACTGTTGTACAGCGAATTATGTCATTATAAAGTACCTATAAACTGTTGTACAGTGAGCTGTGTGCATATCTTGGATAAACTTGAATAATTATCATTATCCAACAGATTCTAGAGGACAAATAACTTTAAATTTTTTTCTATCCGAGTATTTAAAGGAATTGACAAAACCATTTTAATTAAGTTTTAACCCTTTCATTGTTGAACATTTCCCAATAAGATTCTTTACCCTTTCAAGGTGGCACTGAGCAAAATCATATAAATTTAAAATAGATTCTTAAACGATTAAAAGTAAACTTTTTCGGTTTTCAAAAGTTATTGCCTCCTCCCACTTGAGTTGAGTGTTAATGAGAAGAAAGAGAAAGATTTCCCGTTCTTTCTCCGTCCTACTTCCCTCAACTTGGTCCAGTAGACCAGTTATAGTCTGAAAAATTTTAATATAAAAATAATTTGGTTTAACTAATTTTTTAGTGAATGTAATAAAAAAATTGCTGTATTGAAACCAAATCGAGCAAATATTGCTGCATTCCACCCAAATCTAACAAATATTGCTGCATTCCATCCAATTCAAGGAAATGTTGCTGCATTCCAACCCAACCAAGTGAAGTAAATTAGTGAATTCCATTCAGATGAGGCAGATATTGGTGAATTCTATCCAATTCAAGCAAATATTGGTGCATTCCATTCAAATGAAGCAGATATTGGTGAATTCTTTTCAATTGAAGCAAATATTGGTGCACTCCAAACAAATGAAGCAAGTATTGGTACATTCTATCCAAATGAAGCAAGTATTGGTACATTCCATCCAAATGAAGCAGATATTGGTGCGTTCCACCCAAAAGAAGCAAATATTTGTGCATTCCATCCAAATGAAGCAAGTATTACTGCATTCCATCCAAATGAAGCAAATATTGCTGCATTTGGTCAAGTAAGGCAAATATTGCTGCATTACCTTCTGAAGTATTTGTAGACTGACAAGATCAATTGATTCCACTATTTTCTTAGGTTTACCAAGCATACAGCCCTGAACCTGAGCAGTAAATACAAGACTGTAAAGAATAAAAATAAGAAATAATAAACAGAATGTTTGTTGAAAATACACTAAGATAGTGCATCGGCTGATCAGCAATCTAATATATATGTAACATCAGTAAATGTTTTGAATTTATTTGTATCTGAAACAAATTCTAAGGAGGGGAGAGGCTACTCCATTCTTTTTTAAGACTTTTTAAGTGTTTGTTTGTGTTTACATTTAAAGTTAATTTATTTTTGACAACATTTTTTTTGAAGATTTCTTCGTTTATAATTGAAAAATATGTTTTTTTTTGTCCGAAATATTTTTAACCCTAGCAACCGTGTGACAAAAAACTGGTTTATTTGTTTAGATGTTTTAACAAACAGACAAAATCATAACATTTTTAACTTTTCGTTTTACATTTTTTTTTCATGGAAAAAGTAAATACGCACCCTCGCTAGTCTTTGATTGAAAACTAACGATACTTGGGACTCAGCGACCATCTTTTTTCTGAAAATTTCAAACAAAAAGTTAAAATTAAAACTGAAATTAAATTTATTGACAAAGATTTTTAAAGGTATTTTTTCCCGACACAGTCGGAAATTAGGTTAAAACAACAATTTAAACAAAAGAGACGAAAAAAGTATAAAATTTTGGATTTATGTTTTCTTGATTATTTTCAACTTCAAGATAAATGTAATAAATAGTTTCACAAACATTGAAAAGAGATCAAAAATTCATTGCAAAAAAATGATATTTATGCACATTGCACAAGTTGTAATTGTTGTAAATGTGATTTAAGAAGTTGCATATGAACACCACATACTAAATGTGATACAAGAGTCAAAAGAAAAAAAATAATAAAATATATAATTTACAATTCAAAATTTATTTAAGTTAACAATTAAATACAAGGTTTGTAACACTGCCCAATAATTATACATAAATACTTCTTAAAGTGTACAAATAAAGGATAAAAACATAATAAATTTGGCACATAAAAAATTCATGAAAAAGGAGGGGTATTTATTGTGATTAGGAAAAACTATTGTAAACTACCGGTTCAATGATTTTTAAAAAATGATTTCGAGTTCTACACTGTTTGGAAATCCTGTATATTATTTGACAATGAAATCTTCAAATTAAAACATATTTATTTTATCTTATAATATTTTTTTCCTTTTTTAGAGATGATAATATGCATTCAAGGTTTTATTTCATAATCAATAACAATAAAATAATAGGAATTGACTGTTATTTATAAATTCAAGTTCAGAATACATATACGGCATACGCATCAATTTAATTTTATTAAATAATTCACCAATTTAATTCCATTATTCCATATCTTGTCGGAGTAAATACAACAATGAATTATGGAACATTTATAAAATATATTAATTGTTACCTAACATTTAACTTAAAAGTTTCGGACACAAAATGTTCTAAGGGTAGATCTTTTGTGTTCATTTATGGCATCTTTAAATAAAGTGTCAGTTTAAGTACATACATCATACATATATCTGTTGTGATTAAAGCAAAAGTGTACAATCAAGATAATCCCAATGGGAAGAAGGGAAAACCCGGAAACTTAAGTCCCAAAACAGGTTTGTCACATCCCTCAATCATTAACCTCCATGAATGAATGCCACAGGGTCAAACTTAATATTGAAGTGGATAATGGAGGTGGGGGGGGGGGGGCACGTAGAGTCTCAAATTAAACTAGAGTGGGTAGTCTAGATAATCTACTGGTATAAGACATGAATTAACACTACTATGGACGACGTCGTTCTTCTTCTTGGTGTTGTGGTTCCTGGAGATGTGCTTGTGGAGGGCCTGGTAGGAGGGGACTAGAACATTACAGATAGGACACGTGTACCCGGGCCCCTGGATATACACTTAATATCAACATCAAATTTCAAAACAGAGATGAAAATTTATGAATGATGTCCAATTTGCAGAGACAGAATTTTATAATTATTTTATCTTTCACTTCCAAACAAACAAACTAACATGCAAGCGATCAACCATCATTCCGAAAAAGACACAACACATCAATTGGATTTAATTTAAATAGAAAAAAAGATAATTTTCTTTGAACCAATTTTTAAAACTGTTTTAATAAACCTTTTTGTATTTTTTTTCTTTCTAGAACTTTAAAACTGATCAAAAAGTGTATAAATTAAATAATTATTAAGTATTTCCTGCGAGTGCTTCATTTCTACATGATTCATAATATGTTGTTTAGTTCTACAGTTTTCAGAAATTCCAGGTTTTCAAATATTTAAAGAGATTCAGGCCGTTTTTACAGTCTCATCTTTGAAGGTTATCCTGTATTTTGGTAAATGGCTAAGGATTGAGGTGGTGTAATTTTACGATAATTTTTTGGAACTTAAAAAGTCCCATGAATTGATCTAGAAAAATCACGAGAACAGTTCTTAAAAGATCTCCAGCTTACAGCTTTCAAAGGCAATCGAAAACTAATTGGTTGAATTTTTAAAAAAAATAGCATAAGTCTACATTCTTTACAGAATGGGGGGAATTCTTCTATAAAGATTATTATTATTAAAAAGACAACCCGTCATTAAATGAATTTAAGTGCATCGTATGTCTTATATTTAGATTAACTTAAATAAAACCTATGACAAATAAAATTGGGGCCTCATAAATTTTTTCTACTGCCCTGAAAAATATTATAAAATTGAAACATTTAAAAAAATGAATTTTTGGTTAGAAAGTATCAAAAAGAATGAAAGACTTTCCTTTTGATGTCAACCAAAAATCAATTCTTAAAAATAAACACCCTTGTACTTCTCTTTTCAATATGCCATCAACGACTCACAATGAATTCTGTTAAACCCAATATCTTTGATTTCTTTGGTCTTCTATCTGAATTTTTTTTTGAAAAAGTTCAACTTAAGACTACTAGACAAGATGTTTTTAAAAGGGCTATATTTTACTAAAATCAACTCTTCCACCCCCTCTCCCTTTTTTACACAAGTGGTGTCTAAAACCTCATCCTTAATGAGCTTATAGAGATCAATGCTTGATCTACCTCGATCTTTTTTTAATCTGCAGATTAATTTAACCTTTATTCGATATCCCGCAGTGTAATCGCACCAAGTTCGGGGTTAAATGGAGGTTAGATGAGGGGAAGAATAACTTAAATGAAGTTATGGAAAGGTGTAGTTTTAAAGATCATCAAATTAAAAGTGCCAACAGTAAATATCGAGATCAAACGATCAAGATTATTTATCACAGTTCCCAACTCTGGATGATTAACCCCGAACCTGAATGTCGCTTTCTTCTAACCCATCCATTCCTTCATAATCTTCAACAGGAAACTCTTCTAAATATCCAGGATCCTACAAATAATTTAAAATATTTTTCAATACTTTTTAATATTTTAAAAATGATTTTAAGGCCCTCAAAAACGACCGAAGTTCTTCTTCGTTATTAGGTGTTGGTTGGGTACTTATATATTTACAAAATAAACTTTCCAAAGGGCATTTTTCAAAGGGCAACCAAAAAAAGCCAAAGCCTTTAAAATATAAGTGAGACAAAATTAGGTTTCGAGGACCTTTCAAATTACAATCTTTATTAATGGATTTCTTTTAATCTAATTTTTTTTGAAGGAAAATTTTTTAAAAATCTGATCGTCCATTAACTATTTCCGGCAGGTTAAGTAAGGTATTGCATTCATAATGTTTTTTGCTTAAGACATTCTTAAGATAGATAGATAGATATAAGACTGAAGATAGATAGATAAAGACTGAAGATAGATAGATAAAGACTGAAGATAGATAGATATAAGACTGAAGATAGATAGATATAAGACTGAAGATAGATAGATATAAGACTGAAGATAGATAGATATAAGACTGAAGACAGATAGATATAAGACTGAAGATAGATAGATATAAGACTGAAGATAGATAGATATAAGACTGAAGACAGATAAAATAGAAGACTAAAGACAGATAGATATAAGACTGAAGATAGATAGATATAAGTCTATATGTGGGGTGGGGTGGAAAGTGTGTGACACCAGTTCTCGTCAGATGACTGAAGTTAAGCACACTTGTCCACAGCTAGTAACTGGATTGGTGTCCAGACTGGTGTTCACGGGTTCGATTCCCGTACTCCACACAAACCTGTGGTTTCAACCCCAGACAACACCAAACTTTCGCAATAGAAAAAATTCCAAGATTTGATTGTAACAACCCGATCATGTCCTGGGGACAAACAAATCTCTTTTAAAAAAGAAACAAGACTGATAGATAAAATATAATACGTACATAAAACCATTGCTACCTGTTGGGTATTATTCACAGATAAAGCTCTATTTTCATTCGGCACATCTTCCCCAGATTGATCTTCAGGAGACGAATTCTAAATATATTAAATTCTTTTTAAAGGGAAGATCATCGTTTTTGACAGAAAGGTACAGAAGAGAATTGATAGACCATCATGTAAATACGATTTAAAAAAAGGATGCTTAAAAATCGCAAAAATCGGGACAAGTAATTTCTGATAAGTTCTCATATGCCCCATGTCAAGGTACGCACTTGAAAGATTAAATGAAAATTATGTTTAAACTGATATATTGTATAATTGTAAAAGTGACTTGCGCATTACTACTAGGGTTTGAAGCGAACGAAACTTTTCGCGAAAAAATGTGAAAATTTTCGCTTGTATTCCGCTAGTTTTTTCGCGAAATTTGGCATTTTTTCACGAAAATGAATGAAGCGAAAAATGCAAAGACAAGGGGAAATTTCGCCAAAAAAAAAATTTCAAGAAAATTTGGCATTTCACGAAAATATTTCAGCAACATTTTTTTGATGAATTTTCGCCAAAAAAATTTCATTATTTTTCAAATTCCGAATTTTTTCGCAAAATTTTCACATTTCTTAATGCGCGAAAGTTTCTCATTTTTTCGCGATTGATTTTTTCGTGATTGATTGATTTATTGATATCTATTAATAATACCAATCTAAATTACCCTGTCTACTGGTGTTCCAGGCTCATTCTTAACTGGTACTAAGCATTCATCCTGCAAACAATTGTATCATGTACATTATGTGAAGTAGAAAATGATACATGTATACTATACAGAGCTTATTGGATTGTCTCCAAGCTTTAACGCCAAAATACGCACAGAATACTCAGATAATCGTTTCCTGAATGCAAATTTTCATATTAGCCTTTTATTAATTTCAAATTTTGTTAAATAATTCGCTCTTTTTAAAATTTCTGAATACTCCCGGAGATTGTAATTTAAAGCTTTATATCACAATCCAAAATTATATGTACAGTGTAAAATACCCATTCCAGAGTAGATCCGGTATTTATTTAAAAAATATAAATTTGACAAGTTTTTATTCTTGATATTTTCTTTAATTCATATATTCATGAATATATTAGGAATAAGTTACTTAACAAAAATAAGATACTTAATAAGAATAAAATACTGTATAAGAATAAAAGATCCGTTTCGAACTTCTTGATTTAGAAGTTTACCTTATAAATACTCTTTGGTGTGCTTGAAGCTGAATGGGTAGGTTTGGTTTGGTTGGTCCGGGGTCGTTTGGCAGGGGAGGGAGATCCATAGTTAGACCTGGGCATAAACAATATTTATCGAATCGAATCGAATCAAATCAAATCAAATCAAATCAAATCAAATCAAATCAAATCAAATCAAATCAAATCAAATCAAATCAAATCAAATCTAATCAAATCAAATCAAATCAAATCAAATCAAATCAAATCAAATCAAATCAAATCAAATCAAATCAAATCAAATCAAATCAAATCTAGAATGACCTTGCATGACTTTAAATGGTCGAAACTTGACCTAATATGACCTAAAATATGACCTAAAATATGAACTAAAATCTGACCTAAAATATGACCTAAAATATGGCCTAAAATATTGCCGACTTTATCACTTGACATAAAATATCTGCTATTACTTAACTTGTTGCAGCAAAATGGCCAACTTCTACTTTTTAACCCTGACTTCAAAAGACTTCACCTGATTTGACTTAACTGCAACTGACATGACCTAACCTTAATTAGGTTTACTTAAACTGACTTGATCTAACTCCAATTGATTAGACTAAACTTCTACTGACTCGACCTAACTTAAACTGACTTGACCTCATTTCAAATAAATTGAACCTTGCTATTTTAATTTGACCTGACCTCAACTGACCTGACCCAACCTTATCTGACCTTATCCAACCTCAAATAACTTGGTCTGACTTCAACTGACGGGACCTAAATTCAACTGACTTGATTCAGATTCAACTGACTGGACCTGTGCGTAACTGAGTTGACCTACCTAGGTGTAGGGTATGATGAGCTGGTCCTGGGTCCTGAATATCCCTGACTCCTGGGACTAGTATCCTTGGTTCTACCCTGATCAACTTTATTCTCCGACTGATCAACAGTCTGACTCAATCCTTTGATCTGAATACAACAAGATCAAATATTCAATTCTTTGATCTGAATACAACAAGATCAAATATTCAATCCTTTGATCTAAATACAACAAGATCAATTATTCAATCCCTTGATCTGAATATCGTTTACAAGTCAATGACAATGGGGTTATCCTAGAATTATATAAGAAATTCTAGGATTTATCCTCCGATTCTTGTGTCAAGTTCGGGATAAAAAGAATCAATCTGAAACTCAAATTAGCAAGAAAACAATCGAGACAAAAATCCTTAAACTTAGAAGTGCAGAAGTCTTTATCCGGGATATACTATTAGCAGCTGGGATATAATATTATCACCAGGGTATAATATTTAAAAAAAATTACCTTTAACTCCTCAGCAACAGCCAGAAAGGAGGATAATTCGTCCTAGACAAATCAAAATAATACAATTAAAATATTTATTCAGAGCTCTTTCGAAATATAAAGATCGATAAATCTGGGGGTTTATATGCTCAACTTTATTTATGTTCTCGGGGGAAAAAATATTTGACATCAGAAAACAATTTTTTTTTAAATTATTTAAATTCTTTATTCCAAAATTTATTAATTTCTTCTATGAAGCGAATAAATCATTAAAAAAAATTCCCGCTCCACAAAAACATACCTATTATCAGGGGGAGGGGGGGTTTAAAGATACCCCTTGCAATACATATTAAAAAAATAAAGAAAATGTTTGTTGACATATCTGAAGATTTTATGAAATACACTGTTACCTTAAAAAAGAGACACTGAAGCGGCGACCACCAGGGGCAGATACAGGATTTAAGTGAGGGGGGGGGGGGGGCAAGATTTTTTAGGAACAAAAAATCGTGCAGCAGGCGAAACTTTTTTTTGACTTAAAAGACTCAACAAGAGTCAAAATTAATGACTAAACTAAATGACTTTTAACTTTTCACACATTATAGTTTATTATTTATTATTAAGACAGATATTTTTCCTGTTTTGCACTAGGGTTTCTTTCCCTTAAGTATGCTATTGAAAATGGGAACAAAAAATTCCAAATTCGGGGGGGCGAATGTCCTCCCCCCCCCCCCCCCCCCCCCTGGCGACCTCTTTATCACAATCGTTTTGTTTGACTTTGAATCAGAAAAATACTAAATATTTGACAAAAAATCTCCGAATCGAACTATTTAAAAAGATTTCTACAGTCGCCTCTTCAGACTCTTTCTTTGTGGGTAACTCTGTACACTGTATTGTTTACAAGATCCGCAGTACATAAGAATTTAACTGTTGTACCTGAGCTACATTTACTTCACCGTTGTACATAAAGTTTAATATTGAGAGCAGCTCCGTAAATTTAACTCCCTGAACAAGCAAAATGATTAAGAAATCAATCAATCAAAATTATTTAATCAAGCAATTTGCTGATTTAGGTATTACCAAAATGTATTTAATCAATCAATCAATCAATTAAACAAGCAGCTAGTGGATTTAGGTATTATCAAGAAATCATTTAATCAATTAATCAATCAAGCTATTAATTTATTTATGTATTGACAAGAAATCATTTAACCAATCATTCAATTTATCAAGCTACTATATTTTATTTATTAAAAAATGCATGAACTACATTTAATGCATCTACTACAAGAGTATATCAATATCTATTTTTTCTGAGTAAAAGAATTGCAGATCGTTAATTACCTTACAAACCAAAACCTTGCATGTTATAATTATTAAATTTTTAACTAATCATTGCTCTTATCATCAAAACGTTGATTAACATCATAAATGAATACATCAAGAACCAGGACCCACCTTAAGATATAGAAGTGGATGTTCATGTTTATTTTTCCTGAGCACACCTCGGAAAAATGGACTACAGGCTGACAGGATGACTTTGTGCGCCTAAATATAGTTTTTTTTTACATCGTTGATATATATTGGGTAAACTTCAGTCTGGGGCATCTATATAAATTTTATGGAGGGGGGGGGGCTACCGTTGGGGGCCAGATCCGCCCTGGAAACCTACGTTTTAATTTCAAAAGGGGGGATGGGTAGGCCTACCCGCTACATACACCCCCAGTAGCGGGCCATCAGTTCCTCCTAGTATACGTATCCGTGTTGGGTCCGTCCTAAAAAATGATTTTTTGACCCCCCCCCCCCCTCCTATCAATTTTATACATAACCACTTATTATTCATTTTTCAGCAAAAATATTATTATTTATTTTTTATTATTTTAGGTTAGGTTAAGACAATTTCTGGGCCGAGCGCTGTAACTCGGACAGGCTAGGGGGCCGAGCGCTCGGGGCGGCTAGGACAGGCTAGGGGGCCGAGCGCTACGGCGCGGCTAGAACAGGCTAAGGGGTCGGGCGCTGCGGCCACTTGATCAACTTTATCCATTTGTTAACCATGTACAAAATTGATATGAGGGGGTCCAAAAAATCGTTCTCTAGGAAATTACCCTAATGTTTATGGGAGTAAGGTGAAGACGTCTAAAGGCATGGCTAAACCTATTTTGTCGTGCATGGTTCCAGAGCCAGGGGTCCAGCGTGTTACCAGATAAAATCCAAAAAGAGTAACTTATTATAATTGTAAAAATGTACGAGGACACAAAAAACTGATACATTGATAAAAACCTCACTTAGAATTGAGAGGCGCAAAGCGTACCTGAATCTGTTCATCTTCGGATGCCAGAGTGACATCGAAAAATTCGCGTTCGTGACGAATTTCTTGAAAAGCCGCGCCGATATTTACATGGAAATCATTCCATTTCAAACAAAACTTTTCTGTTGAACCCATGATGCTTGTCGCCACCTTTCTCACATTATCATTATTATGAGTCTTGAAAAGATCAGCCTGTTAAATAGTTCATATACTTAAATTCTTCTAAAGAGTGTTCTTTGTTTGTTTTTATTTGCCTTTCAACAAGACAAACATGCGCCTTTAGATAATAATGCCGCGAAATCTTCTGGTAGACCAAAATAGTCGTCTTTGCTGAATGTCTTTAAATGGATTGTTTTACATCCGTCCTACGATACTTCGGACCTACCTGCAGTTCCGCAGTTGGTTTACAGAAGCTTCGAGCTGCTGTTGGTCCGATGTACCATAGGTCGGATACACACTTCATTGGAAAACAACTAATGTATCCGACCTAAGATCTGAATTATGTTATTTGAAATTGTACATGATATTTAAATTGATCACTAAGTACATTTGTTCAAATGTACTAATTTATTTCTTTAACTTTTTAGTGCCTTATAATGAATGTTGTTCTACTGAACATTCCCAGATAGCAAAATAACTGATTTTGGTTATACTGCCTCGTATATACGAGGCTTCGCCAGAGTTGGGCGGAGCTCCGATCATCATCCAATGTAGGTCCTGGCGGTATAGTAAACGGCACCCACCAAGATCTGTCGTACATACGATGTAGTATATACTACAGCGCAGATATGATCTCCCACATCTGAACACTTCGATGTCGGTACCATGTAGTATATACTAAATCGAATTCTTTCTCACCGATGTCTACATTCTATACAAAGGGGACATTTTCACCGATGTCTACATTCTACATCGGATAGATGCTTCTTGTAAAAAGATTGCATATTATATAAATTCGTCTTCACTTCACCATTTTATTACTGTATGTTACTGTAAATGGAAGGAAGAAATAAGAAGAGAAAAAAAGGAAGAAAGAGAAAGTGAGAAAAGAAGATTTATTTTGGAAAGCACTGTATATTTATGAAAAGTAGTCATCATTTACCATATTACTTTGGGGAGCACTGAATATTTAAGAGCAGTCGTCTATGCTTACCATATTATTTTGAGGAGCACTGTATATTTAAGATAAGTTTTCAATTATTATTATTTTATTTTGGGAAGCACTGTAGTGTATATTTTGAAAAGTAGTCAATACTTACCATTTTATTTTGGAGAGAACTGTAAAATTATGAGAAGTTGTCTTCATTTACCATTTTATCATGTATACAATTAAGGTGGAGAAAAAGTTACAATTCTTTCTTTTTATAACCCATATTTAGACCATGAATGGTTCCTCCACCCCCACGAAATGTTAGTTTATTTTCATATCCCTTTTCCACGTACTGCACCTAATAACAAGATCAGTGTAGTTGACTAAGCAAAATACACACGTCAGAATCTAGCGTACATTTTCCTCCAAATGTCCTGATGGGAAAATATCTGTCTTAATAAACTATAATGTGTGAAAAGTTAAAAATCTAGTATTTAGTCTTTAGTCATTAATTTTGACTCTTTTTGAGTCTTTTAAGTCAATTCTTAATTATGAATTTTTTTGTTCCTAAAAAATCTTGCCCCCCCTCACTTAAATCCTGTATCCGCCCCTGACAATGGGGCTCCTTGGTTGGATTCACATCAGGCTCCTCTTGGTTGGATTCAAATCAGGTTCCTTGGTTGGATTTACATCAGGCTCAAAGGTTGGATTCACAATGGGGCTCCTTGGTTGGATTCACATCAGGCTCCTTGGTTGGATTCACATCAGGCTCCTTGGTTGGATTTAAATGTAAACAAACACGCCAGTTGTGTTGTGAATCCGGAGCTTAGAGGTCGGTATAAACATGTTTACTTCTTTATTCTTGGCGTAAAAATGAGCCTTAAACTTTAATGAGCCAAAACTTTAATGTTTTACGTGAAAAGTCGTAAAATGTTATTATCTCTGATTAGAATCTTTATTTCTATCTTTGTGGATTGCCGGAGATAATTGAGATTTGAGATTTAAAAATTTTTCTTAAATTCTTAATAGAATCCTTAGAATCTTTATTTCTTTAAATTGTTGAAGTTAATTGAGGTTTAAAACATTTGATTCTCTTAAATAGAATCCTTAGAATCCTTATTTCTTGGTTTTCTTAAATTTAACATTATAATAATTTGTTTGAGCTAAATACAGTTTTAAGAGTTACGTTTTTACTTAAAGCTAATGATTTTTATATTTAGCGACGACTGAATTGAATTGGATTGATTGGATTGAATTGAATTGAGCTGAATTGAAACTGAAAGACGGGACATTCTGGTTTGGAGCCTGTTCTTTGATTGCATCTTTATTGCCAGTTCATCTCTTCATCTGTGGTTCTGCCCGGAAAAGTAAGCATAAACCTTTATTTAAGTTTACTTGAAGTTTGCCTTTTTTTTGGAAGTTTCCGCAACCCATGAAATTTGCCTTTTCGGAAGTTTCTGCAACTCAATTCTTTTGCAATTAATGAAATTTGCCTTTTTGGAAGTTTCAGCAATTCATTCCATTTCGCAACGTTTTGCCACATTTTGCAACGTTATTGCAACTTTTGCAGCGATATCTTTAATTTTTGCAACGTTATTGCAACCTTTCTTATTTATTGCAACTTTTACATTGCAATTATTGGCAAAATGCTTTAAGTTCGCCAATTTTATTCATTGCATTTATTATGCAAAAGTTTTACCATGCAATTTATTACATGGTTTTAATTTGAGAGATACAGTGGTCTTCATAATTACCGAGTTTTTTCTCAAGAGTATTACTTTTAAAAGTACAGTGGTCCTCATAATTACCGAGTCACCAGTGCATTAGTTAATGCTAATAAAATGGTTAAATAGCCATAATAATTTATTGATTAGCACCATTATTGCATTCCAATTAAAGTAAACAGAGTTGAGTTTGGTTAATACCATGATTTAAGCTTTAAACTTATGAATTATAAGCTTAACTTTAGCTTCTTTACAGCTGTAGCTATTGGACCTTTTATGGGACCCTTATGGCTGTAAACTTTTAAATGCTTGTTTAACCCAACTTTTGTTTAGTTCGGAAGAGTCTTGCGAGTCTGTCAGTGCCACAGAGCTCTCTATTTTCAAGAGTGGAATTTATACATATTTGTATTTAAAGTAATAAATTATTGTTCAGTTATTCTTGTTTCATTTTAAAACCACATATACAGAATCACTTTAAATTTCCTGCTATTGCAGACAGGGTATTATTTTTCTGCAACAATGATTCATTCTTGTTAAATTTTCTGATTTGTCCCCCAAATTGTAATTTAGACCCATTGACGCGGTCTAATTTGATGTGGGACACCCTGTATGTAGACCTGTTATGTTTTAACTTACATAGATTATTTGATCTTACAGAATTCATAATTTGAAATATCTTATAAGGTATTCGAAAAAATGGTTGCAAAGATAGGTATTAGAGAATCAGAGTTAGTGGCAAAGACTCACTTCCGTTGGGGGAAACTTATCAAATGGTTGAACAGGTTTTTTGAACCAAAAATGTCCATGTCTGTCCATTTACTAAGAAATATGTGAGTGAATTTTGGGTTTTATAAAAAGTTATCAAAAGTTAGTGACTATGAATTTATTACTTTCACATGACCTCTTCTCGATCCAAGTATTGTTTGTATACCTTTGATTCTTGCCGGTTAATGTCGTCATCATTTGTTTATTGAATACAAGAACTCTTATATATACTAACAGAAAAACCTGTAAATACTTTTTATTTATTTATACATATTTCTAGGTTTGCAAAACATCAAAATACGTATTTAACATCCATGCAAAGGACATACTTTCTTTTGTAAAGATTTCTTTGGTAAAAATATTGACATATGTTAGGCAAAAATCTAACAATTCTTTATTTGGTAAATTTAGGAATTTTTCAGTTTACATAAGCTGAAGAACAGAACAGAGCTTATACTTATTGAACATATTCTTAAATGCAGTTAAGAATTATTTAACATTGTATGAGACAAAGTATTTGTATTTTAAAAACTGACAATTAATTCAATTCTTTGGTATTACATTTATGTATTATTGGGTACAATTACATATGTTCAGACATATGGACTTAGACAAAATACTTTGTATGAGATGTTTCAGTTTACCGTAAAATCCAGAGATAATTTCAAGGATGCTCGAGGGGAAGAAAGCTTAAGCTGCCAATTTTTCCAGAAGCATATTCTGAGTTGAAGCATTTTTCGAAATTTCTTCTTTGAACTAATTTTCATAAATATTGGTAACCAAAAATAGATACCTAACAAAATTTGTTGGTATAAAATTTACTTAATTATTGTTTAAAACCACGGACTACACAGACTACACAGAATGCTCATCCATGCTCTACCTGGATAGGCTGAGCAGGCCCATAGTGTCCTGGCACGCCATGCTATGATTCCATGTAATATTTTAGACTGGCATCTCTCGGCCACTTGTTGCATTCAGGGGTTAAGTTTTACAACTTTATAAAGAAATACTTCAATTTTAAACATAAAACATAACGTTTATGAATATTGTCTATTTTTAAAGATTTTGCATTTCCTATTCAAAGGATCCTTAAATATCCCTGAATACAGATGTCTCCTGATTGGCCGTGTACAGTACTTGTACACAATAGAACATGCTGTGGAAAATATCGCATATTATAGGTTTTAATCTATCTCTGTAACGACTGTAACTCTCTTATCTCTGTTAAAAACCTAGATATTTAGAAATATATCTCGGTATGAATTATATGTATGGGGTAAAAATATGTTTGTTAAAACCTTAACACCTAGAAACTTTTTAAAGTAAAGAAAAGAAATTAGATCCTAGATACTTAGAAAAATTACTTGGTATAAATACATACGTAAAAATATGTATCTTTAAAACCTTTTGAAAATGCTTGACGTGTGATAAATTTGTAAATAAATGTAAATCTATTTATGTCTTACAATTACTTCCATTCTTGGTTCTCAGAGTATAAGAACTGTGTAACTTTTACAAATTACATCAGCTTTAAACTTTGTATGTAAAATGTTGTCAATTTGTCAACAAACATTCTGCAACGGCTGATACAAGGGGGAGAGGCCGTTTTACAATATAAACGGCTGATACAAGGGGGGGGGGTTCTACAATATAAATGGCCGATACAAGGGGGGGGTTCTAGAATATAAAATGCCTTCCTTTCCCCTCCCTTCATTTTTGTACAGCTAAAAATAAATCGAAAAACTCTTTTCTAATTATATAAATGTTTTAGAAATTTATTTTTAATAATTGAAATAAATTTTTCACTAAATTCTTTGATGAAACACTGTATCAGAAAGTCTTATTGAAATGTGGTTTACACTCTACCTAAAGTATATATGTATAGTAAAGTATAGATTAATTGTTAAGACTGGCAAATATGATTAAATATTTTGATTCTATTTTATACTTTGGATTATGTTGGACAAAGGACTGGACCACTTGTCACAAACTCTAACGTTTCAATTTCTTTATTTTGAAAATTCTAATATTTTATAACCAATCAATCAATTTTCCTTTGTAAAACATTTAAGTTTAAAAAAAAATATTAAGATTTAACAAAAAAACATGACTTAATTGACTATATTGACCAAATTGACTAAATTGACTATTTTTTCATTTTTACTCCACATTGCCGGGCCGAGGCAGTACCCTATAGCGTTTAGAAACTGTCAAACCGCCTTTTACATTGCACTACTTTAGCCTCTTCGGCTTTTACACCTTTGAGTTCTGACAATTTATTCCGTAGGAGAGTGCAGAAGGTAGCTCGTTTTGTGGGCCTACTGCATACCCTACCCTCCGAGTTAACAGAGCTATGCATTTAAGGGTTAGGTCTCCAATCAAACCCGGTTAAACCCGGTTGTGTTTGTGTGAGTAGTTCCCCCCCCCCCCCCCGGTGTTGTTTGCTTGCTTGGGGGCGCCAAATGTCATTTGCAGTTACAGGTGTGTGTTAGGCGCTGAAGTTGACGTCATATCCAAATAAGGATATGGGGTCACACACTGTTGTGCATTTGCTGGGTTTGCCCTCCCAGTCTCTTCCCTCCTCCTACTACTTCCTGTACCCCAAACTAACCCTATCGTAAGTCTGTATGATTGTCCATGTCGTTGTTAGCGTCTGGATGCTGATTTAGTGCTTGAGAGAGGTACCCAACCCCTGTCTGCTAAGTAGCTTCTTAGTGCAGGTAGACCAGCCACCTCTAAAATTGATGGTGAATCCATGTACTTCTATCTCTTCCACTGATGCACCACTAACCCGGAGAGCCTACTCCTTCACGTACCTTCTCACAGCGTTCTTGTCATAAAGCAGTCACCTTCTGTCTATACCTTTCCTCTGGGTTGCAATTGTCTCCACAGCTTTGTCTCTCCTCCAAGCAACAATGTCCGTTTTGACAACTGTTCCTTCAGTCGTGTTCTTCGGCTCCAGCAGCTGAACTGTATATCCTACTCTCTGTAACCCCAGTCTGACTAGTTTAACAATTCCATCGTGTCTTTTGACTCTCAAGCCATGAGTTAACTGACACATTTGACTTTTGTCAGTCGTGTTAGCTGTTTGCTTGTCCAATCTGCAGGTCGGGGCCCCTCTGTCCCCCCTCACAGGCGTCTTCATGGCATTACATCGAACCCTTTTTTTTAAAACAAAATATTTATTCTTATTTCTTATCCTTTACATGTATACAGTTTTATTACATAATATATATTACATATATTACATTGATGGGTAACGGAAATGAGTTTTTATATTTTATGTGCAACTAGCTGAAATGCTGACGTTGCCCTTTTTAAAAAGAAAATACATTGCATGTTGCAGAGATATAAAACATGTTAATATTTACTTTAATGCAATCGAAAACGCATATAATACATTACATTTTGATGATTCTATACTTTATGTTTAGGACAACATTTTTAGAGAATATTAAAAAACATATTATAAAGAACAAACTGCATGTTACAGGAACATATTTATAGTCACGATGCCTTGTAATAAAAGGATGGAGTGTCAAGTTTTTTTTTAAGGCACCACATATTTTCTACTATGAGTAAGAATATCGTAAATGCTTATCATGGAAGAAAAATCAGAAGATTTAATACTTTATATTTAGGATGGTATTTTTGGAGAATACTAAGAGACATACTTTAGGACATGATAATTTGTGTATCACATATAAACATTTTGTAGTCGGTTTATTCAGTAATGTCCAGAAGAACTTGCATGTAACAGAAACCATATCAGAGCATTCAAATAATTCTAGAAAAAATTTTATATAGCAGAAGCCGCATTTGAGCATTTGAATAATTTTAACCAGGACAGTATACCATAATTCGAAATTATATCAAGTTTGGTATATGGAATACACTTTGTAGAACTAAGTAGAGACGTAGCAGGGGATGATCTTAAGAGCTGTGGGTGCTTCTGATAAACAGTTTACTCCTGTTCAAATATTGTGTAAATGTTTGTTTATTGGGTTGAAAACATTTTGCATATGAAATTATTACTTGAGCAGTAAAATATGTATGTAATGTAGAAGCTTATATGTCTCCGGGGAACTAATGATCATATTTTACACTAGGAATGTTTACAATGCGCTTATTTTATACTGTAGTGTATGTATTTTAAGTTTACAGAAATTTATCCTTAGGATTTAATTTGTGTTCCTATGCAGTGGTATTCTCGTACTATATTATGAGTATAGGGTGTAATAGACCTAAGTAACATGAAAATCTATGTATTGCAGAGTTCATATAAAATATCTCCAGCTTCAACTGCCCAGGTCATCTCTTTCTATGATAAAAGTACAAAATTATGTTCCAATTAATTAGAAAGTATATGAAAATGTACACAAGTCTATAGTTCTCTATATATGTATGGAATGCAGTACACAGTATGTGTACTGTTCAGATTCACAGGTTTCTAAGATCACAGTTTTTATAAATTATAAATTTCTATCTTAATCTTATCAGTAGAAGGAAAACTTTTTTAGACAAGGATTTCTACCAGAATTAGAGCAATTTTAGCTTGAGGAAGTAAGAAAGACCTTTTCTTTTACATATTGCATTAATCCCTGGGATTATTACTTTTGTTATTTCAGATCAAGCTTATAATCGGAGCTGGTTCTTCTGAGTTTCAGT